AGGAGGCAGAAAGTGCAGAAACCCACTTGCAAACCCTACGTTTGGATATAGCAGCGGCTGGGGGACGGTCGGCCCCTCAAGCTCCAAAAGCCAAGCCACCGAGGCAGTCGGATGCAACGTGGGAGCAAAGCATGCGGCAAAGTTTATGCCTGAGGTGCAGAGAACAGGGCCACTTTGCGGCCGACTGCGGAGGATAAGGGCACCGGGAAAAACCCGAAGGAGCGAAGGTGCACCCATCCACCCCTGCTAAGAAACCAACAGGGAAGCCGAAATTTGCTAAGGCCCTACAGGCTACTCCTGAGGAGGATGGAGGGGAATCAAGCGGAGAATACCTCGAGCCGGCGGGAAACGGTTCGGTCCTGCTGTAGACGGCGCAGAGCAGCAGGGCCCGCAACCGGAGGCGCCAAAAGTGGTGAGCACTTACCCCTCCCTCTTTTTTGTGACTGTCTCAATTATTAACCCGGCTCTCGGAACCCACCTCCGAGCGAGAGCTCTCATTGACTCGGGGTGCGGGAGAGACTTGATCAACCCCTCTTTGGTTACGGGGCTAGAGGCTGGGGTAGTAAAATTAAAAGAACCCCTGATCTTCACACAAATGGATGGGTCTACCATGAAAGACTTGTGTGAGTACGAAACGGTACCATTGAGAATGGGGGCGGGGGACCACTGGGAAACCTGAACCTTTGTGATAACTTCGACAGCACGATTTCCCCTCGTATTGGGGGCCCCATGGCTGCATGGGCATGACCCTTACATACTATGGGAAGAGTGCAATTCATCTCACCCAGATGCCATGAGCACCGCTGGGAAAGTGGGGGGAAAGCCCCCCTTTGAAACTCCTGGAGCGTGCTTAGCCCAAGAGGAACTGCTCTCCATTCCTCCTGAGTATCGAGACTTGGCTAGGGTTTTTGGGGAGGAGGAGGCAGATGAGTTGCCACCACATAGACATTCAGATTGCAGCATTGAAATCTTACCGGAGCACAAACTGCCTAAGGGGCGGATCTATGCAATGGGGCTGGCGGAGAAGGATGAACTCCGAAAGTTTATCGATAAAAACTTGGTGAGGGGTTTCATCAGGCCGGCCTCATCCCCCTATGCGGCTCCCGTGCTCTTCTGGAAGAAAAAGGATGGTGGGTTGCGACTCTGCACGGATTACCGGGGTTTAAATGCAGTGTCTTCCACCAATGCCTACCCTATGCCTTTAATTAAAGATTTACTAGCCGAGGCAGCTAAAGGGAAGATCTTTTCTAAGTTGGACCTCAGAGATGCGTACTTTTGGGTGCGCATCAAAGAAGGGGACGAGCCGAAATCTGCGTTCAACAACCCCCTCGGCCAATTCGAGTACCTAGTGATGCCCTTTGGCCTTCAAGAGGCCCCGGGGGTCTTCATGAACCTTATAAATGAGGTTTGCACAAGCACTTGTTTAAGGGGGTGCTCGTTTACCTTGATGAGATCCTCCTGTACTCCCCCGATGTCCCCTCACATGTGAAATTGGTGCAGGAAGTGCTGAGTACGTTGCACAAGCACAAACTGTTTGCAAAACTGTCCAAGTGTGAATTTCACAAGACACACATTGACTTTTTGGGCTACCGCATTTCCAACCAGGGACTGGAAATTGATCCGGGAAAGGTCCGAGATGTCTTGGGGTGGGAGGTGCCCTGGACCAGACGACAACTACAATCCTTCCTCGGTTTTGCAAACTTTTATCGTTCCTTTTTGCCCATCTTTGCTCAAATCAGCCTCCCCCTTACGGACCTATTAAAAATGAAAGGAAAGGGTCCGGAGGCTACACGACCTGGCACTACGCTTCCATGGACTCCGGAGTGTCAGGAAGCGTTCATGCGCCTGAAGGCTGTTCACCTCAGAGCCGGTTCTGACCCACCCCGATGAATTGAAAAAGTTCATTGTGCAAACTGACGCTTCAGACATAGCAATGGGGGGGCATCTTACAAGAGGGTAGGATGGGCTGCTGCATCCATTGGCTTACGTGTCTAAAAAGTTTAACGACACGGAGAGGAACTGGTCAGTATGGGAAAAGGAAGCGGGGGCAATAAAACTGGCACTTTCTACGTGAAGACATTGGCTGGAGGGGGCTAGAGTCCCATTCGAGGTGTGGACGGATCATAAGAACTTAGAGACTCTCAAAACGCCCCGCTGCCTGAACGCTAAACAGCTTAGGTGGGCAGATTTCTTCTCTAAGTTCCAGTTCACCCTTCACCATTTCCCTGGCTCGGCAAATTCGTTGGCTGACGTGCTCTCATGCCTCCCCCAACATGACAGCCAACGGGAGGTGATCCTCGATTCGGTGTTCACCCCCTCCCACCTGGGCGGAGTGGTGACGACTTGCAGCCAGGCCCACCTTGACCCACCTCCTCTACCCTCTTCGCCTCCTGACTCGCCTACGTCAACGAGGGGCCCCTGAGCGCTTGGTCTGACAAGTTCAACTCCGCCTTCTCAGAGGCGGATCAGGAACTGCTTGAGGGGGGGGGAGATTGTGTGCAACGGGAGAATGGCTGCTGGTATCATGGACATAAACGGTACGTTCCTTAAATACTCAGGGGGGAAGTACTGCAATCTGTTCATGGCTTGAAATTGGTGGGCCACTCTGGTTTCGTGAAATCTCTTCAATTACTGCAGAGACAGTTCTGGTGGCCGCACATGCGCAAGGACCTATCTTCGTTTGTTCAATCATGCCAAATTTGTGCCATGAGTAAGCCTCATCTCGGGAAAGTCCCGGGTCTCTTGCAGCCTCTCCCCACCTGGGAAGTTATTTCCATGGATTTCATAACGGATTTGCCTCCCAGCAAATCAATGACTGTGATTTGGGTGGTGGTGGATTTGTTTTCAAAGCAAGCACACTTCATTCCCTTTGCTTCCCTTCCCAGGGCTAAAGCCCTTGCTAAAGCATTCCTGGTACACGTGGTGAGGCTTCACATGCTGCCAACCAAGGTGATCTCAGCTCAATTTGTTTCACGATTTTGGGGTGAATTGATGAAGCTTATGGGAATGGAAAGGGGTTTAAGTAGTGCTTATCACCCAGAGACTGACGGTCAAACGGAGCGGGTTAATCAGACTTTGGAACAATACCTCCATTGTTTTACAAACTATCAACAGGACGATTGGAATGATTTGTTGCCACTTGCAAAATTTTGCTATAATAACACTTGCCACTCATCGACGGGAATGTCCCCGTTTAAGGCCCTCTATGGCTATGACAGCCCGCCTGTACCCTTCCTGGATGGAGACATGGACTTGGGACCTGGGGAGGCAGGGCTGTGGTGCAAAAGACTGCGGGACTCTTGGCCCCTTTTGTGCAAAACGCTGGATGCGGCCAAGGAGGCTTACAAAACACAGGCTGACAAGAGAAGGGTGGAGGGTTGGGCTCTGCAGCCTGGAGATTCGGTATACATGTCTACAAAAAACATTCAAATGTTGCAACCAAGCAGAAAGTTTGGGTGGAAAAACATTGGGTCTTTTAAAGTGCACAAAGTTATCAAATGTGGCGGTTGATGTGGAATTACCTAAGAACTTGAGGAAATTGCATTCTGTATTTCATTTCAGCCTCCTGAAGAAAGACTCTGGGTCCTGTCCTTGGCGTCCGGTACCACCGCCTATTTTGATAGAGGGCGAGGAACACTATGAGATTTCTGAACTCTTGGATTCTAAAATCAGACGTGGCAAACTGTTGTATTTGGTGGAATGGAAAGACTTTGGACCCCAGCACCTCGAGTGGGTGGAAGTAGAGGATATTAGGGCCCTTCAGTTGATCCGCAGGTTCCACCAGGAGTTCCTGGGCAAACCGGGAAATCTCCCAGACTAAACGGGAGATTCCTGTAAAGGGGGGGGATTTTCGAGGGGGCAGTATGTCAGCTGAAGCTGCCATGAGTGTGGTGTGTGTTTCTAATTGCTTTGCATACCTTCCCATGCGCTTAATTACTTCCAAGCTGTAATGCTTATCTGTCAAGGTTACTGGAGGGGTTGGTGGTGTCTAGCTTTCGTGGGAGCTTCTTTCGTTCCCAGCTTTGCGGCCGTTAGAGAATACGCCAAATGCCCGAGCGGGGGAATCCATCTAATTGGGTAGTGCGGGGGGGGGGCGCATACGAATGCCCTATATCTTATTATGTGCCTAGGTAACCCGCCATTTCTAACAGTGTTCATGTTACTGCATCTATGGCTTTTCAATAAAAGTAGAACCTTCCTGGAAGCGTGTACTTTGTTGTCTTGCTGTGGATCCTGACAAAAGGCAGGGTACAAATTAAGTTAATAAAAATAAATAATAATGCTTTTCAAAAACTGATAGAGGAACACACTGGTATATGGAAGAACTTATTCTTTAGAAATTTTTCTGAAGTTCTATGATAATTTGACTAAGGACATATGAGCAATGATTTGAAAACTGAAAAACTGAACCCCCACAGCTCTGCTCTTCTTCACTGGCAAACGTGAAAAACAATGAAGTCTTTTATTTTAAAACATATCATGTCATAAATGTTCTAGAGAAACTACAAATGTTCAATTGCAAGGACACTTATATAATCATATAGTTTGGCTTGCCCATATAATTTTATTTTGGATTTAGTCTATCCTATGTATGTGTGTGTGTAAAGTGATGTCGAGTCGCAGCCGACTTATGGCAACCCCAGCAAGGGGCTTCCAAGGCAAGTGATTAAGCAGAGGCGGTTTGCCGTTGCCTTCCTCTGCAGAGTCTTCCTTGGTGGTCTCCCATCCACATACTGACCCTGCTTAGCTTCCGAGATCAGGGCTATACCATGCTGCCTTCCCTCCCATTCTGTCCTGATGCTCACTCAACTGATTCTCCAAAATACTTCACTTCATAAAATACATGCAAAGGACTTGGTGTTGAAAGTATATCATATGGACCATATTCCTGACTTCTGGGGTTTTCCTGTTATTTCTGAAACACAGGACGTGCATTTGACGAAGTAAAAGTTGCAATACTACTTTGCTATTGAGACAGTGCAAGTATAGGCAGCGTACATTTGACATTTGCTATTGAGACAGTGCAAGTATAGGCATTACATTCAGTCCTATTCTTGATTAATAACTGACTGTGTGGTTTCTAGCCCAAAGGATGACACTTTTGCATTAATGGGTTCCAATAAAGATATCACTTTGGTAATCTGCCCCCCTGAATCTAATGGAAAGTTAGCAGATTTTAATCCAAAGGGAGCCAGTTTGGGCATGGGCTTCCATATTGTGTCACGTTTGCCAGGTTCCAGACTAGTCTTCATCTTTAGGATCGGAGGTGACACATGTGTGGTGTTTGACAGAGGTTCCAAATGTTTTCCATTTCCACCAATATTTACTGCTGACAGATCTAGATTTTGATCCTTTACTTCAGAACCTAACATTAGTTTCAAAACACCTGGTTTAGATGAAGGCTGTCCCAAGGTTCTGTCATAATCAGCTATGCTGTCATCTTCCAAGTAAAGCAAGAGAGGGGTAATGGAACCACTGCTCTCTTGAACAAGGCAGAGGTTCGTGAAGTTCCCACCCAATGAGCCAAACTGAAAGGGAGCTCCATCTGCAATAGCTGGTTCCCTAGGACTCTCCATGCCTCCTGGAGAAAAGCAAGAACTTAGAGAGTTGGGGACTTCTGATACATCTGAAGCACCATCATTCAGCTGATGGTTAAGAAATACAATTTCATTCAGAAGTGAGGTAAGAGTTTCATCTGTGTTATCATTCATGTCACTTGCATCTGGTGCTGCTTCCTGTATTGCAAAAGCTACTTTTTGTAATTCCATTTCTACCCCAACAGCTTTGGGTTCCTTCACCTGCAACTCTTGGAAGGAAGAATCCTTTGACTGCCGTCTACTTTCTCCACTGCCAATCTGTTTTTCTTTCGCCTGTCTTTGAGCTAATTCTTCAACACAGAGTTTTGTTGCAAATGATTCTGGAGATTCTTTTAAACTGGAGTCATTCCCCATTTGTGAAAAGCTGATTTCCTTTTTCCAAGTAAAGTGCTTGGTTGTGTCAGTAGCCTCTCCCTCTTTTCCACAAGAAGAATCAGCTTTTTCTACACACTGAAAATTTATTTCCTGAGACACCACTGGCAAGGAAGGCTTAGATGACAGGGAACCTATAACAGGGGATACATAAGGATTCCTATTTATATCCAGATTTAAATCTGTATCTTCTTCTGTAGCAAGTGACATCACATTTACTATCCTTGGCATCAGAAATGAGTCTTCATTTTCTGCAAGACAAAGAAATATTACAACACTGTTAACAGAGATTAGAAACTAATACTACATGGTGGTTATGGTGTCTATCTAAGATTGGAAAGATCTGGGTTCAAAGGAGTGGTATTAGAGGCAGTTCCATGTGGTTCCTCACCACACCAGGACTAAAATGGTGGCTACCATTTACTCGTATCTCTCACATGGTGACTTGCCAGAGCAGTTTGACTCCATCTCGAGGAAGAACAAACACAAGTCCTGTGGCATATTACAGACTAACAAATTTTTACTTCAGCATAAACTTTCATGCACCACTTATTCAGATGCAATGAGTGGATCCTCATTACACAGTTGTTTCATGTAAGAGGATGGAAGAAAACAAAGAGCAGGGTCAAGAGGCCATGATAAGCAGCAAGTACACAGCATAATGCAATGTAATTATGTAAAATTCCAGTCTATTCACAAACAATATAGATACAGTTCACTAGTCATACTCAGAGGCAGACTGGCCATTATGGTCATGTGCCCTGCTTCTGGCACTGAACTGGCCCAACCTGAGGGGGGAATGTGTGAGGCCCCTCTGAGCCTTGCATGGCAAGGGGGAGGCTGTGTACTGGTAGGAGGACTGGTCTGCAGGAGGGCAGTATGCAGCCTGCCCAAGCCTCATGCAGCAACAGAGATGCCACACTCTATCTGCTATTGGGCTGTGGAGGAAGGACCAGGCATGGCCTGCCTAAGCCTGGGGGGCGGGGGGCAGGCTGCCTCTCCCTCCCTTCCTTGGGTGGGCAGGGCTAGGGTGTGTCATGGATGTGGCCCCTTTCCAGGGGTGTTTCCCCCTCTCAATTCACCTCAGTAATGTTAAGCTGGTTGGGAGAATTACTGGTTTCACTGCTGCAGAAAGTTACTGTGTGAAACACCCAAGTGACTGTACTCACAATAACAGTCATGGTCCAGTGAAAGGCCATGTAAAAACTTTTCCAGATTACATCACTGTATTTTGTTCGTCTGATTAATACTGATAAATGCAGGGTTGGTTCTTTGGGGTGTCTTAAATCTAATTCTCATAAGCAGGCTACAGTAGTATTCTCCTAGAAAGATGCAGCGTCTGGAACATGCTCAAACGGGGTGAGTGGGCTAGATGGCACTTGTAGCATCAACATTTCTGGAGGGTAGCAACTGCCACTCATCCATGCACAGTTTGCAGATGAACATTTAAACTGTTTTGACTTGCCAGGAATCCACAGCATGTGTGGATTAACACATGGAATTCACTGCCACAGGAGGTGGCAGCGGCTACAAGCATGGATGGCTTCAAGAGGGAATTGGATAAACATGTGGAGCAGAGGTCCATCAGTGGCTATTCTCTGCCCCATATGTTTATCCAGTCCCCTCTTGAAGCTGTCTATGCCTGTAGCTGCCACCACTTCTTGCAGCAGTTTATCCTTCATGCACATATAGTATTTCTAAAACTTCTGTAAAAATCAACTGTTTTCCTTTTCCTTCAGCTTACCTGTGGCGTGACTATCTGTCGTGCAAAGTATAATGGATTTCTCTTGACTCTGAGATGGAATCACTTTTTTCATCTCAGAACAGGAACCGTCTTGCACATATGGCCTAGCAGTCTCTGCACTTTCAACAGCCTTCACAGGTTGTTTTTTCTGTTGCTGCTGCTGTGCTTCTACTGCTTTCTGCTTTGTACTGATATACTGAAGCTTCTTCAAGACAACCTCCTGTGTCTTGCCTACAGAGAAAATAGTAAAGACTTCCCTCACATTTGGCAATTCAGAGTACTGAAAACAATTATAGCAACTCACAAATAAGTCCAAACCCCCCACTGCTTAGCAACGGAACACACAGCTGATAGGAGCCTATCAGAGGGGAGTCAGCAAGTTAGCCATCTAACTACCATTTACTTCTGTGAAAATGTACCCTTCTATATGAACCCATCCTTTCCACCCACATTCAAAACTTGTCAGAACTACCCTAGAGTCTCCATATCCTGAGATGTAGGTCATCATTTCTGTATTTATTTTACCGTGCATGCATTCTGTCCCTAAAGCCATCTCACCTGATAGTGCAGATGCTTTATGAATCAGGATGTCCTGCCTGCGCATCAGTAACTTCTTCTGACCCATCAGTTTATCTGCCTGATTCACTAGCCCCTGGATCTCTTCAAAGGCCTGAGAAGGGACCAAGAGGTCAATTTCAGATTTTAGTAAAATATGCACATAACAAATATGGCTTCTCTTTCCTTCTAACAAATCATTACAAAAAACAATTCAGGGCAGTGAGTTGCTGCCAGGAAAAAGTGCTACTGAGAATGAAAAGCTTAGGGTATGTACCGTTGTTATTACTCAATCAAAGAACTCTGGGAAAAAATATCTCAGGTGCATTTGTCCTGTCTGACACTCTTCCATCAGGAAGGAACAGTACTGCCACTTTAGAGGTTTAACTCTAGTTTTTATGTATATATTTCTAAAAACTCAGCCTTTACATTCCACAAGATTTTAATTCTTGCTTCAAAGAAGATGCAATACTTTCCTTGTTCAGGCTAAACTATACAACACTTACTTTTTCAAGCAGGATGCGCTTGGCAACTCTGTGGCCGTGCAATTGCAAAGTCACTTGCAATTTTTCAAAGAGTTCTTTAATTTCTTTGCGGCGGCAACGTTCTTCTTCTGTGTGTTTTGAACGATGCCTAGTCACAACTCGTGCCACCTCCTTTAGCTTACTGTTCCGGAATTCAGACTGCTATTCAAAACAATGAAATTGAGAACAAATAAAACAGAATAAAAATACAGAGATCTGTATAACTAGTTGCAATTTATATAGTCTCTCAAAACATGGGATGATGCAGGACTCCCTGTTCTTAGTGAGACTGACCAGACACTGGGGAAGGGGGGAAAAGAATTATGGGTTGGATTCCATGGATCCATTCCACTACTAAAGGTACTTATGTCCAGCAAAAGGTGCTTTCCCTTGTGTCAGGGGAACACTACTCAACTGGAAGACAGCACCTCTGCTAGTGGAACAGATCCATGGGATCCAACCCAAGGAACTGCCTGACTTTGAAGCCACTACACTGGAAAACAGAAAAGCCTGACAGTGAAACCCTGAGCAGAACAGTGACTTTCTAAGTCCATTGATTTCAAAGGACTTAGAAGGGTATAACTTTGTTTAGAACGGCACTGTGAGGTTCTCAGTTAAGACAATGGGGAGGGGGAGAAGGTCAATCTATATATCTAACAGCCAAGTTGCCCCCTGAGTGCGGATCGCTAAATCAGCGCTCCGGGGGCACTTGGTGGGGAGGGGGAGGTTTGTACACACGTGGGCCAGTCCCAACGTGTGCACAAAAATCGAAAAAGTTGAAAAATTTTTTGGGGGGATGTTTAAATCCCCCCGAAAGTGACAGAGCGTCCCCTGCGCATGCGCAGGGAACGCTCTGTAGCTGGCCTTGCCGCCTCCTCCTCCTTCTCGGAGCTGGCTGGGCGGCCGGCCGGGGAACCGGCCTCGCCGCCGCCGAG